AAAAAAAAAAAAAAAAAAAACCCAACTGCATACTGGGTTGCATTAACAGGAGTGTCACTTTCAAATCAAGAGAAGTGATTCTTCTGCTCTGTTCAGCACTGATGAGATTTCACCTGGAGCATTGTGTCCTGTTTTGGGCCCCATGCTTCAAGAAGGATATGGACAGATTGGAGAGAATCAGCACAGAGTGATAAAAGTGATTAGGGGCCTGGGAAGGAAGACTTATAAGGAAAGGCTGAATGACCAAGGACAATTTAGTTTGGAGAAGAGAAGACTGAGGGGGGATTTGATAATCACCTTTCAGGTATTTGAAAACTGTTAGGGTGAAGATGGGCTTTTCTCTGTGGCTGTAGGGAACAGGACTAGGAACAATGGCCTTGATCCACAGCAGAGACAACTAGGTTGGTATATTAGGAGGAACTTTCTAATTATGAGGGCAGTCAAGCATTGGAACAAATTACCTAGGGAAACTGTGGAATATCTATTCTTGAAAATTTTCAAGAGCAGGTTGGACAGGTCCTTGGCTGGAAAATCCTGCCTTGAGCAGAAGACTGGATTAAATGACTTTGTGAGGTCCCTCCTAGCCCTACTTTTCTGTGATCCCGTGATGAATGTTGTTAGTATGATGGTCAGGGAGGAGATAATAGAAGTGCATTCTCATATTAAGTCCTTCATTTTTTCAGAATCAGTGTAGTTTACAAATTTCATAAAATGAGCAGCAGCAAACCACCACAGAAAGCCATTGGTTCAAAAAGGATGCCTCCTTTTGCAGGTCCAACTTTCAGAAAAGCTGTAAATTCCTTATGCCGTTTTCTCTTTGCTTAGATAGAGTATGTTCAGTGAGCCTTCTTTGTGTTGTAAAAGATTCATACTTTAATTAGAACAGTTTTACCAGAGACTGAATTCCAAGCAGTCTGAATTTTGCGATTTGCGGGATCCTTCATTTTTATCTTGTAAGGTCGCAACAATTCTTGTTGTTGGGATATACTGTGCAGGGATTTTAATCATATGGTTTAACGCTTGCAGAGCAGAAATTCTGCAAAAAGGATTGGAGAAATTTTTGGATGAAAGGGGCACCAGTAAATACTGAGCCACAGGAATTAGGGGTACAGCCATTGAACCAGAACTTACTGGATCTTAAATGCTGGAGGTTGCAGGTGAGAGAGGAACAGTGTGGGGAAAACCTCTGGTCATACCTAGTTCACTTTCCCTTTCAGCATCCACTCTGCCACTGTGTGATATAGGATACTGGGCAAGATGGACCTATGGTCTGATTCAATAAATAGCAATTCTTATGTTCCTCTGCTTTTTTGTCTAAATCATTTTACATATAACCATGCAGAACTTCACTTTACAATGTTCTTCAGAAAAAAAAAGTGAACTTTGTAATAAATTGACCTAATAGTGAATGATATTGGGACCTAATGAGGGAGTGGGCCCTTTCCTATGCTTGTGTTTTAATATGTTCATATTTGAATGAACAATGCAGAGTGAAGAAATCAGTGTCTTGACAAGTTACTTCTTTTGTCCGCTTCATTTGCATCCCTTCAGTTCCAAGTACTTGATATTTGTCATCAACATCAAGTTCTTTTTTGCCTGATAACTTTATTTTGTAATTAGTAAAATTAATACATCATCTGGTTTTCATTAAGGAGTTCTGGTGTTCAATCAGTTCAAGAATTCAAGGTCTGTAGAAGCAGCAGATGAATGGATAGATAGAATTAAACTTCTTCTGTGTTTTTTCTAGTTTTTCCATTGTGGTGGAATTGATTCTTGCTGAACTTCCAATATTCTTGGACCCCTTTATCCTCCAATTTATCTACCCATGTCTGTTTCTCAGAGTTGTTTAAAATCTGCCCTTCTTGAGGTCTTTTAATTTTGTTTTGCTAGACTCATCCCTTCCCTTTCTTAGAATCTTGATCATAGCATGTTATGATCACTTCTTCCCAAGTTTCTTATCACATTCACATTTACAACCAATTCTTTCTTATTGGTCAGATACACCTATGTCTTTTTTTCATTTGGTGAAAATCTCCAGCTTTTTGTACTTCCTTTTGCCTTCCAGGGTTATGATTTGCTAAGGGCCATATATGAGTTCAACTCCCACTGATTTCTAATGGAATCCCAACTGTAACCATTAATGCTTTATCTTTGTACATCTTAATTTTATCTTTGCAGTAGTTCATAAAGATCTCTCTAGCTACTTGATTAAGTTCATGAGAATATATATGTATTTGTATATATATAAAAGAATTTGTGGTGATAAATGCTCTTTTACACATCCTCTTTCATTTATGGAAAATGAAAACTTTTGTTTTCATTTGTTTATTAGATAGAATTTAAGAGTATTTTTTACTATTTTTAACAAAGTGGTATTCATAAAATGTTAATAAATTGCCAAATTTAAATGTATACGTTTTTATTCTGTTTTCACTAATTATTTTATATTTTGTTTTGTTTTCAGAATGCACTTTTTAGTTGTATTAATAGAAATGAAAGTAAGTATATTTTTTACAGTTGTATTTATTAATATTTATTTTTCTCCATTTTTATTTTCCTTGTCTGTGTATCTTCCTCTCCTCTTCTCCCACATGAGAAGTTAGCATATGCATGCATGTATTTATAATCCATGAGTAGTTCCTCCAGAAATTATTCAGACTATTCATGTAACTAAAATAAAATCTTAAGTGTTTGCAGGATTATGTTATCCTCCAGCCCCATGCATGTGTGTTGCCCCCCCCCCAATGTTCCTCTCCACCCCCTGCGGCTGGCCTCATGGGCCCCTCCCCCCTCACTGCTCCCAGTGTGGCCCTGTACACCCCCCCTCCCACTGCCAATCCACCCCATGCTGCCAGCAGCTCCCAGAAAGAGGGGGAAGGGGAGCTTGCATGCGGTGGCAGCCACTGACACCTGGCGGCACGTAACATGCATTCCTTCCTCCCTCCCTCCCTGCCGCCTCCCCCTCTCTGCTGGCTGTTGGGGGGGGAGGTGCGGTGGCGGTAGGGGGGCACTGTCACGAGAAACCCCCCCTTCCCATTCCCTCTCCCCTCCTTCCCTCCCTTCCTCCCCTCTTCTCTGCCATTGCCGCCTCCCCCTCTCTGCCAGCTGTTGTTGGGGCGGGGGGTGGTGGCTCCCTCGCCCCCTCTGTCTGTAATGCTCTGGGCCTTCGCAGCCAATCGGTGCACACCCTCTCAGCGGTGCATGCACATTTGGTCCAGAGCGTTATGGACAGACAGACAGATGGACACACTAAGGCTTTTATTACATTAGAATTTAGATACATATGCGTATATCTCTTTTATTGCCTCTGATTTATTTTAAGGTACCTATGAATGCTTGCTTAGAAGTTAATCGTTTACTTTATTTCTTCTTGTTTTATTTAAAGTAAAAAAACCCCAATTAAACAACAAGCAGTGGTGAAACTAATCAACCAAAATATTTTCATGTTGCAGATGTCTTAATAGAAAAATTTATGCAGAGGGAAAAGGAGGGGAAGAATAAACGGCACATAAAAATTACACAATAATTTTCAGGAAGTGTCTGTATTTAATTATGTGAACTTTATTCCTTTGCTTTTGAATGAGAGGTCAGGTGCTATTTTGAGTACTTTTATTTTATAAACATCAAATTTTATAAATTATAACTTTCATTTATGTTGTATTTAAGTTATACCACGGGACGCATATGATTGTATTCAAGATTTTATATATATATAGCAATATGCTGCAAAATAAAATGCATTTCATGAAAGCACTTTTGTATTCAGGTCTGCTTGCAGAGGTTGCTAAGCAAAACAGAAAATATTGGCCTCATTTGTCTGCTGTAAGGACACGCACTCTTACAGTTGCAATGTTTTTAGTGTTGCTGATAAGAAGTTGTTTTTTTCTTTCTAATACTGGCTTTCCAATATTAGCTTGGCTATTGGTCAAGTCCATAAGTGAATTGTGCTATAAAATATATATGGTCTGTGTTTCTATATTCAGGATACATAATTCTGTTTTTCGTCTTTCTTTTTTTCTGTTTTTTAGTGGGATCAGTTTGCTGCAGTTATGCAGGTCATCATACAAACTGCCGAGAATATTGTCAAGCAATTTTCCGGACAGATTCCTCCCCTGGTCCTTCACAAATTAAAGCAGTTGAAAATTACTGTGCTGCTATTAGCCCTCAGTTAATACACTGTGTGAATAACTACACACAATCATATCCAATGAGAAATCCTACAGATAGTAAGTAAAGAAGCTTAAGTTTTCCATAAACTTCATAATCAGAGAAGTAATGCATTGAAAATGTTTCATATAGAATCTAATATACAATGATAATTTTTGGGAGGTTTTTATTGATAGTTATGATATATTTATTAATACCCTAACCCAGGGGCAGGCAGTTATTTCAGGAGGAGGGCCGCTTACTGAGTTTTGGCAAGCCATCGAGGGCTACATGACAGGCAGCCAGGGGCAGATAAATATAAATTTTCTAAATTTTTTTAGGGGCCTCACAGGCCAGATAGGATGGCCTGGTGGGCCGCATCCAGCCCGCGAGCCGTATTTTGCTCACCCCTACCATAACCACTTCTTTTTTTCCTTTGACAGTTCTGTCTGTTAGCATTTAAAATGAAAGAAACATGTTTGTCATTGCTCTTGATTTATTATAGAAGTTGAAGTATATTATTATTTTTATAGAAGTGTTATTATATTTTAACAGAAAGCAAAACTGTGACTTTTTTGTTGCCATTATGCCGGTCAATAGTAGATCATTTTTACTTTTGTTTGGATATTAGGTTTGTACTGCTGTGACAGAGCAGAAGATTATGTCTGCCAGACTGCTTGTAAAAGGATTCTAATGTCAATGAAAACAGAACTTGAAATTGTTGATGGACTTATAGAAGGCTGCAAAACGATGCCTCTGCCTCAGGATCCCCTCTGGCAATGTTTTCTTGAGAGTTCAAGGTCTGTTCACCCTGGAGTCACTGTGCATCCTCCTCCTTCAACAGGCCTTGATGGGGCTAAATTGCATTGCTGTTCTAAAGCAAATACTTCCACTTGTAGGTCAGTATCTTTATGGTTTTCATCAGTGAAATACAGCTGTTCAGTGGTTTATGACAGGGATGCAGACCCCCTGGCCTGTGGTTCACATCCAGCCTGTGAAGCCATAGCATCTGGCCTGTGGGGCTCCCCTTAAGTTGGGAAATTTGCCAGAGGGGGAGCAGTGGCAATTAATAGCTCCACTCCTCCTCTGCTGCCAAATTCCTAAAACCTGCATGGCTGAATCAGGGCCAGATTGCACCTCCACCCCCAAGACCGCACTCCTCCCTCCCTCCCTCCCCCCCAATTCCCCAAGCTCTCCTGCACCATGTGGCTGGATCCAGTCCACTGGCTGAATCTGGCTCTTGCCTGGACCAGACACTGCCCATCCAGCTAATGGGGTGGAAAGGTTGGGCACCATTTTTTTATGGTATATAAATCACTAAAAATGCATAATCAATTGTAATGTTTCAAGTTTGTACTGTGCTTGATAGCTAAATCATGCAATGAGGGAAAATATACTTTGTAACCTTAAAATCTATCAAGTACTGGGCAAGCTGTGAATTCTATCTTCAAATTTACGATTGGCAATTATCCAAGCTAAAAACTGTTTTGTAAATATTTGTCATAATCAAGGCAGTCAGGTATACAGAAAGTAACATGATTACAAGCAGTCAAGCTAAAATTCATTTTGCAAGTCTGGAAGGGTCTTCCTGGGCCATCAAGTCCAGTCCCCTGCATTCACAGGTGCTTGTTAACCAAAGAAATCCCCAAAAGCAGCTGTTCAAACCTTCACCTACAAGTACAAGGAACAAAATCTGAAACACTACATCTTGAGTAAAATCAGAGATGACAAGGAACCTACCATCCATAAAAGTGGGTAGGGGAATGCTAGCCTTAAATTTAATGTTTAGCTTCTTGCAAAGTTTGGCAGAATTATTTGCATTGGATGTACCTGTTTCAAATTTTTAATTTTCCTTCATGACCATCTAGAGATTTACTCATTTCTTTGTAACTGATGGCTGAGGTTCTAGAGAACAGCTTGAGGGTCTTTCTTCATTCTCATATTGGTTCCAGGCCTTCAGCGGGTCCAAAATGCAAAACTTCCATTAATTTATACTTTTATGATTAAAGCCAACTGTTTTTTGGTGTAAAACTTCTGAATGATTGCTTTTCTTTTCATTTGATTGACTTTGTTTGTTCGTTCAGGGAACTTTGCACTAAATTGTATAGCACAAGCTGGGGCAATTCACAGAGTTGGCAAGAATTTGATCGCTTTTGTGAGTATAACCCAGTTGAAGTTTCCATGTTGACCTGTTTAGCAGATGTACGAGAACCTTGTCAGCTGGGCTGTAGAAATCTAACTTACTGCACTAATTTTAATAACAGGTAGGAGAGATGCACTAAATATTTTATAAAGGAATTCCTGTACTTTGAGTAAAAATGTTTTTTCCAGACTTATAATCTACATATAGTCTTTTTCCCATAAATAGTTTCTTAATACGAGGGTGATTTTTTTAACATACTTTTCTTATGAACTTTTTTTAAAAACACGTTAAATTTTAATATCTTAAAAAATACAAAAGCATATTTCCAAGAGACATGTTAAGTATTATTATAATGAGACTGACTGAAATAAAAATTCACATGTATTGCAAAAGCTTGCCATTTGGTAAAGTATTTTTGTTTCTTTATCATGCAGGACAATAAAAAAAATAATTGCTGCCTCAACAAACTTGTAATTGATTTAGTTATATATCTACTTCTGGGAATACAGTTGCCAAAACTGTCTTTAAAATTAATTGCAGCTCCACTTGTGCTAAAGCAAAACCTAGAATTTTACAGTTCTGGTTTTGATTTTTTTTTTTTAAGTTGGTATGGGGTGTTGTGTATTTTGAAATACTATTTAAACCAGTTTGATGCTTATAGATGGTTGTTGGAATGTTGTGTTGGGAAATCAGGGGGACAGGTTCCACACCCCTTCTTAGTGATGTGAGCCTGAAATGCATATCTGCTGCTTCCTGGGCAAGTTAGGTATTAGATATATGAAAAGGAGAAGATTGTCCAGCTCTGGTTGCTAACCCCTCCTAGTAATGGATATTTGTCCAGCCACAGTGTTTTTTAAATTGGGTATATATGTAATCACGTACCTGCCCAATTGGTGCATAGTGTACTACACATGCTCAGTATACACGCATGCTTCTGCATAGATCTAGGTTGTAGGGCTGTGCAAAGCTTCACTCCCCGATTTTGATTCGGTAGAGATTTGGCCTGATTTGGTGGCCGAATCTCCGAATCAAAATCGAATCAAAGGACCCTTTAATCTGTCTGAATCGAAT